ACGAGGCGTCCACAACGGAGATTTCGAATTATCAGGCTAAAATTTATAATATTATCGGAAAACACTCCGACTCTCACGGAAATCCTTACGACCCTTATCGCGTTGCTACGTTTGCCGGTCGGACGTGGTGCTTATCCGCGCGGGAACATCGAAACACGCCTACACTGGTGGATAAAATTATGAGGCTCCCCTTCAAGGGACACACAAATGTAGTACTGTTTAACGTAAACACAACATTAAGTTCTTCTTCTAACAAGCTAATTTTCATGGTATTATATATTTCTGTCGAATAATCTGCAAGTAACGAGTAGACAGAGAGGTTGAAATTAGATGCGAATAAAAGGCGATGGAGTTGGCATCGGACGAGTCATAAACATACTTTCGTAGCTTATCCTCGAGACAGTCCTCTCGATTCAATTTACGTCCGGACGCCTCGCGGAAATTCCGGCTGGCATTATGCCACCATGGCAATATGTCCGACCTCTTTTTTCCGCCAGCTCCTCCAGCCTTTCGCCCTCGTTCGTTTCTTGCTGGAGCCAAGTCGTAGGCAAATATGGGCGAAGTTTATCTCGCGTGGCGCGTGCTGCAGAAATTCGGTCCGAACAGGGCGACAGCAGCCTGACCGCGCTCGTCGTTCTTCCTCGCGATAGAACCCTGCTGGTGCGTCGCGTCTCCTCTCGAGTAAAGCGATTCCAAAGGTGTGACCTGGAATTTGTCCGACTTTTGGAATTTACTCTCGTCCCCGGAAAGACCGGGAAGATCCGGGCCGGATAAGTAGTTTTAAATCTGGCTTACAAGCCTTGCTCCGTAACATACTGTTCCTGATATAAATTTGCCTTTTAATAGGCGTCCAACGATATTTCACCGGTGTCCCGGGGCCACCCGGAATACTCCGTGAACATTATAAATAACGCTTTCCGTTGTGACGCGATGCAACGATTAATTTATGAGCCAGACGAACTCTTCCCGTTAAGGAAGCTGAATAAAAGATGAGGGAGGAGAACGACGGAGATGACGCGACGCGAGCAGAAAGTTGTATTTTTCGCGGGCAAGATGAAGAAGCGAAGTCAATTGTTTTCCTCGATTAATTCTTCGTCAAAAAGGAACTTTGGAAAAATGCTCAACCCAGCCTCCAACCTGTAACCATTAATTACAGGAATGAAGTGAAGTGAAGTGAAGTTCGTCTATCGAGTCGCTTTTGCTTCTATTAAGTTATCGAGTTGGGTACGGGTCGCGATCGTTCTTCAGCGGTTGCATCGTCAGGTTCGAACACGGTGCTCATCAATCACGATGCTTCTTGGATACGAGATATCGACGTGAACGCTCGATGTGGGATACGTTTCAGACGCGATTTTTTTTTCACGATAATCGCGATCCGATCTTAAACTCTCTTGCTGCGGCATCTGTTGTACAACAATAGCAAATCAATCGCTGGATATTGAAGTTTTTCCTTAGTTGTTTTGTTGCTGTCAAGGAACGTCTTTATTCTATCGTGGACATTAATTCAACGTCTCAATCGCAAGATATTGCCAATCTATTCAACTTTATAATAATTGAGATTACAAAATAATTGAGATAACAGATCTTTTGACACGTTTATCAACCGAGCTTACGGTTTATAAAAAAAAAAAAAACAAATTATTCACTTGCAAATATTTCTTGAAGAATCGGTTTTAATGGAACTACACGGGACCATTTATCCGGTTCGGTTATCAGCTGCAACGGAACAGAGATAAATAGGAAAGAAAAGTAAATTAAGAAGGAAACTGAAAGTGAAGGAAGAGAGGGACAATTGTTTTCAAAGAAAACGCCAAGAACGAGAAGAAGTCGCGACGGGGACAATAAGCAGTTTGAAAATTTAAACTGTACGAAACGTTCGAGCGTCGCGAAGCTAGCATTAAGCCGTGGAAACGTTGTCTCTCGAAGTTTCTGTAATATTTAAAGAGTAAGCCGGGCTGAACTGAATCTGTGATATTTTTTCGCCAGAACTACATGATTTCACGATGGAAACGGAAGTTCTTGAAGAGGATTCTTGGAGCAGGGCGTGCATTTTCCTTGAATTCAACGTGCGAATAAATCCTTCTCGACAGTTGCGATAGAAAATTGTCCAGAAGAGGCTAAAGTTGTATGCGTTTTAAAATCGCTCGAGTAATGCAAGATTGAAAAATGTACGGACCATTTGATTGTGAAGATCCGGTGGAAATGGGTTAAGCGGAGAGTCGCTATTAAGACAACAGTGAACGTAGCTCTGGGTCGTTCTTCGATGACATTACTTTCGGGTAATTACTCGTCGTTTCACACGGTTCATCGACTTTTCGTCGCTGAGAGCGATAGCTAGCTGGTCGGATGATTTCTAGTGAGGATGGGCCACGGTCGTTGGTCGATCGCGCGACAATAGCAAACTTCGAGGTCGTCGCTTCGGATCAATCTATTAATACCGCACATTAGAAAATCAATTAAGCCGCAGTCCCGTTTAATCTCGTGTCCGAGGATTTGCCATCAAGCAAGCTTCCAGCAGGAGAGACTCTCGTCGCCCAAGAGCTGACGGTTCTCACCGATAGGACAAAAAAGGACCGGGACTTAACCTATCCCTTCTTCCTTTATCCCATACATTTTTTCTATCCCTCAGGAGCGAGCACGTGCAAGCGTTGTTGGGATCTAATGAAAATAGAAGGAGAAAATCCCTTCGCCGTTTGAATTTTTCGAGAAAATGTTTGCACTACGGCATTAAGGGAAGAAGGAAATATGGTTAATAAGCGTATAACTTAATTACGATTATATCGAGGTGCATTCTGCAGGGTGTACTATTTTAACCACTTCGCGCTATTTCTGGTTAAATGGATTTATTAGTTTTGTTTTCGTGACGATGCATCTTGTATAGCAGTGTATTGCTGATAGTTTATTTTGTCAGACACAAGGCGTGTACACAATATTTATCGGTTGATTGATACAGGGACAAGTTTTTAATCGAAAACTTTAATCGATAAAGTATAGGAGCATCGATCGAATACATTGACAGTATTCATGAGGATGAATTTCAATGAAACTGGTTGCTGCCACGGGCGGCAGAGTCGCAAGTTCAGTTCCCTTGTCGCTGTACGTGGTGCTCCTTACTTCCGATATCTCTCTGTCTACATCGTAGTACGCAAACTTGGAAGATCCAACGGACTGAGTGCATCATTACGGATTAATATCCTCTCGAGGAAGCACGTAACCTTCCGCTACCGTTCCTCGTTATCACCGTTGGTTACGTCAAACGAAATGTCACTCAAAGCTTTGCTCAGCCGTCTTCTAATTTCTCCATCTCCGGGGGTTGGTCACTTCTCCTCCAGGCCGAATTAGATGAAATCGATCTTGATTACATCCTTCTATCTTATTCAACAGTAGCTTTAGTCCTAGTTTTCAAACTTGATCCACGATTTTTAAATATTCACCACGAATATTCGGCAAGATCCACAAGGTATCTGAAATTTTTCGATTAAGTTTCCCGATGAACGATGTTCCTTCCGGAAACTTTGACCAGTTCTTCCCGGTCCTCTCTTTATCTTTGTCGTCATAAATTGCGGAGTTTCGTCGTAGGGAAATTTAAATTACAAAGAAATATAAAGCGTACAACGCGCGGCTATTTGTACGAGAGATCCGTTTCCGAGCTGCGATTCCAGCCTCATCCCTTTCGCGCGTTTCAAACCCTCCCCTTTCAGCGGCGTTGTCCGTCCTTAGTGTCGCGCACGAATGTAAAATATTCAACGGCGCCGAGTATCCCGGTTGCGAGACGGGGTATTCCCTCCAGACAGCGTGTAACGTCGGCGTAACTCTCGTTATCATCGTCGTCGCTGTCGTTGAAGAGCTTCCTACTGGCGGATGACGGTCCTCCTCGTCATCCTCGGCGTTCTCGCGCTCGTTCCCCTACATACGCGTTTACCTACATTTCTTCTGGAGGACGCATGCAGTAGGATCAGGTGGCGCACGCGCCTCTCGTTCATCGTTCGCGCACCGCCGACAAACGAGTTCAAATGTATTCAAAATTTAATGACGAGGTCTCCGCAAGTCGGACATGTACCGGGCCGAAGGAAGCGGACGAGTATCTCCGCCGCGAACTAGCTCAAATATTTGTCGATGGCAAACGTTTACCCTTCGGTAGAGCGAAACCTAAGCTCTAAAGACATATCGCGCTCAAGGCTGCGCTATTATACGAGCAAACTTCTACCCGGCCTGTTTGACGTTCCTCGACATTCCGCCTCGCGATTCTCTACTTCCTCTCGACCGGTTCGCCGTCTCGAACCTCATTAATCGCCCTTCTGGAACGACATCCACCGAACGACCGAACGTTCCTCGTTTGGCTGCATCTCAAGGCGGGTCGCTTGAATATTGAACCAGGGGATGATGATCGTCGACTTTTTCATAATCCTTGGCTGTCGTGTAACTGATGCTACAACTGGAAGAAATGGGATTATTTATTTGGAACAGGCTGTACAGTACAGTAACCACTCGATAATTGCCCCTTTTTTTTTTAGACGGTCCACATTTAGAATAGAATTAAACTCTTTCCGGTTGTTTCATCAATTACAAGACACCCAGTGTATAGCTGGCCAGCACAGTCAGCGTCTGTGCGTCGTTGGAAGCATAACAGCAGAGGTCTCTGCACCCGCGGCCTTCGTTATCCCGTACGTACTTACCGTGCATTTCACGAGGATGCATTCCCGCAGGAGGGAAAGGCGCCTGCGCGAACGCACCGAGTATCATTTCTTCTCTGTCTCTCCGGTTCCGTGTCGTTCCCCTTTCGTTTGGATCGCATACCCCTTTGCCCTCTCATCCCCCACCGCGAGGGTAGCCCGCCACGCGACCGTAGCCCCCACCAGAAGCGTGAGCGTGTGTCACGCTCCGGGTAGCTCGGTGCGTGCCCATTAGAAGGAGGGGGTAAGGGGCGCGTGTGCCTTACGCGAGACGAGCGGTGGGGGAACGGTACGCGGACGGTGGTGGGGATGCAAGTACAGTCGACCGAGAACTCGCCACTAGTTTCGTACCAACTCTCGCGCGAGTCGGATGTCGGTTAATATCCCGTGTAAGTTCACCCCCGTTGCCGTTGGCTGGTTGAAAAACAATAAGTACGAAGGACCTTATTCGCGATCGGTCACGTTTCGCGCTCCTTTCCGGCTTGCGTTTATTCGTGTCCCCCTCGATATTTGCTCCTCTCCGTCCGTCCGTTCTCGGAACGTATCCCCGACTCATCGTTTCCACTGTGCTCCACTTGATCCCTGGAAAAACACGCGAGTGTGTGCTGCGTAACGCTACGCGAATGCCGTGATGCTGTACGGTGACGGACAACGATCGTCGGGGCATCTCGACACCGTCTCGATCGCATCCTCCTGACAGTATGAGCCTCGTGCATCGTCCTCGCCGATAAGATAGTGGTGGTCCGCTCTAAGGACGATGTCGTTGCAGTGATACCATTTACCATTATACCGAGAAGATCCTTGTTTGTAGCCGCGAATGGATCGAGATTACTCAACCAAGTGGTACTCGGTGAGACGCGAACAGTGTGCCCGCGATTTGAAGAGTGTGTGATCGATAACATGTATCGCGTGTGAGTCGTGGTACTCTGTAACACGTGTGACAGTTTTGAGAGAAAGAGGGAATATCTACTGGGGAGGTTTGTTAACGGAGACGGTGTTTCTGAACGTGACCGCATCGTGTCCTGTATCGTTTGTCGCGGTATTAGATTCGAGTGACCGGTTAGTCACATTGTGATCCGTTCGAATAGAACGTGCAGCTCGTCGAGCAATGTTGTTCTAGTGTATCGTTAATTTCCAGTGACAATGGTCGGATTTCACGCCGCGGACACCATGGATTTCTCTACTTCGAACGCGGTGTCGGCGCGACGCACTTCCGGCAAGAACGAGGAGGATCTTGCGAGCAGTGGATCGAGACATCGAACAACGAATGGGTAAGTGAAAAATGTTTTATCGTAGATATTGGTGTTGGGGTAGGCTCTGTATAGTAGGGGGTTGCTTTCCAACTAAGCAACTTCATTGATAATTCTCCGCCACTGTTTCGCGTGTGCCTTCCGTGAGCGCATGTGTGACTATGTAGAAAACTCGGTGCAACGAACCTCCTCGTGTTTATGTACCTACACGTGTTATCGCAGCCGTGGCTGTGAAAAACGGAACGAATTCTTTCGGACGGCTAGACGCGACGCGACACGACACGCCAGGATGATCCGATGTTCGTGATCGCGATTGTAAATGAAAAAGAGCGACGAACGAGCCATTTTTTCAGCGACGATTCCTCCTGTGTGCGACGCGTATACGTGGCGCGAGTCTTGAAATATTCACAGAGGATCGATATTCCACGGTTGTCGCGATACGTGACTCGTTGCGGACGACGCAACGCGTTCAGATTAGGCTTTCGGTGATTCCGGAACGGAGCACGGAGGACAGCAGAGAGATAAATGTAAGGCACGCGTCGTTAAAGTATCGATCTCCCTGGAATTAGGCTGCCATTGCATACAGAGGCGGGAATTAAATCGTGCGAGAGGGAATTTAACGGCATTACTCTGCGAAGAAATTTACGCGGTCGATATGAATACGCGTAACGCGTTAGATACGAAGTTAAGACGTGCTCCAGATTGGCCGATGATTAATGGCCGCCTTAATGTCCGGTAGGTAATTAACGAGGAAAAAGCATTTGTCGAAAACGATTTCACTGATTTTCTGTGCAAATGATTATTATCGAATTATCAGAGGAATACGAGAGAAACGAAGTTTAATTATTTTGCTCTTTGATCAAAATTGTAGAGGAATAACTGACGTTCTTTCTCCTTTTGCGCAATTTGTACTCCATTGTTAGAGGAATGGTTATTAAATGTTCACTTGCAAAACTTTAGAGAAACAAAATTTAATATAAAAGTTGGTATATATGAAAGTAATTACTACACACTCGATTTTCAAAACTTTTTAATGATTTCAAACTTGCCCTTGCAAAGTTCTTCCTTCTTCAATTACCAACTTAAATGGAACGTACCATTAACACCATGAAAAGTTTTATTTATTTATTTTTTTAAACTAATAAACCGCTATTTGTTTACATGTATTACACAAGTTCAATACTCTAAAGGTCAAAGATGAAGTTGGTCGAATTTTAACTGCAAGTTCTGGCAATATTAAACGTACACCTGAACGCAAGAAACTCTCTGTAATCTCGCCTTAAAGATACAGGATTAGAGCGCGTTGAAAAAGCAGCGGGGAGCTTTGAATAATTTCGAGACAAAAGCAACACGAGAGTCCCGGTGTTCTCGGTTGTTCGTAGCTGGTACCCTTTTTTGCTTCGGGTCACGAATGTCAATGCGTCCTCTGCGTGCCGCATTTGCCTAATGCTTGAAATCCTCCTGACCTGGTGTCTCGTAATCTGAGCGTGTATTTTAATTAGCTCACCGAGGTTACATTTTCCATGACGCGACGTGAAATAACGTCGGAGAAGTTGTAATCGCGGTTTCAGCTCCTTCGTTAAGCGACCCCCAATTTGATATAATTACTCAAATGACAGACCTCGTATCGCAGTTGAAATTAAAATTTCGTGTGTCTCTGAAACTGAAACTGACCGAATCAGGTCGTTGATCTTCATAACGTACATCGAGTATAATTAAATATCTAAACTGCTTTATTGAACTAAATAACGAATGCGAGTAGCCTTTCGAGTGCAAGGGATAAATTGCACTATTTCGGAAACTCTATACGTGAAAAGGAACAATGATAACCCAATTTTCCCAACCGACAATGTTATCGATGCGTTGTAGCATAACAGGTATCCTTTCTTCCCCTGGGTCGCGTATTGTTTCGACTCGATGCGATAGCGATAACAAACAAAACAAGAAATAGGTTCTTCTGCAGGCTTCCAGTGGGAACTACTGGCTTCAATTTCATTTCCCGTAAGCTTAACTACGTGACTTTTTTCCTCTATTTTTCTCGTGCGATTACGATATTTTAACATTCTCCCAAATAAACTGGCGTTTCATCCCTTAACGAGCGCACTAACAAATATCAATAGGTATTATCCATTGAATGCCTTTTCGAACACAATCAAATTTTCGATGTCGTATAGTAATCGAACGCCAGGATTATTACTTTCTTTTGTTTGGAAATAATAAATTGAAATAAACGCGTGCTACGTGAAAATGAACACAATGCGACGATGCCGGTCGTGTAGTCTCGCGAACATCAATATTTTCGTTTTCAATCGACTCGATTCGACAGGCCGCAGCGAGATGTTGCCTATTTCGAATGGAATTACATTGAACGGAGAAAAAAAAGAATCTGTAAAATAAAATAAAACGAGGGAAACAGGGGTTGAGAGTGGAACGAAACTAACGGCACGCGAAGGGGACGGGATATTACCAGGACATTTTAACCGGCAACAAAGACTGGTTCCTGTTGAAAATTCGAACTTGGATAGGATCCTCTCGTTTCGCGAAAGCTTTTCCTATCGCGCGATACGATATCGCGAGAAACGATACGGCGCGGCTGAATTACTATATCGAAACTCTGCTTTCGACGAACCGTAGCAATTTCAAATCGAAAATAATCCTTTTATTTCCACGGCCTGTGAATTCGTTCGGGCTCTTTGTCTCTTCTCTCGTTGCAACGAATTTCCTCGTCGTGGTGTCGTCTCATCTCGATGAGGAAAACAAAAAAGGAGAAACAAAAAAAAAAAGAAACCAGGCCAGGCATTTAGAAGAGATCGGTAAAGGGGAATACGAACGACGAAACGGAGTTTGTCGTAATAAAACGAGGGTAAAAAAGGAAAACGCGTCGCGGCGTGTCGGATCCCGTTGAAAGTTTGACCCGGTTTCGCGAAATTATCCTTCCATTTGGCAACGATGCTGCCAGACTCCCGTTGCGCCATAAAATCCGCGAAAAGAAGGGTGGTAGGGTGAATTTTCTTTCTCTCGCTGTGTGTGTGGGTTGTGTGTAGGTGTAAAGAAACGACATTCCATTCGTGGAAAGGAAGAAATCGTAAAGAAACATACGTTGTCGTAAAGCTAACGTAATACGGTGCCGGTAGCAATTTTTGCTGGGAGACCGATAGCATCTTCGGTGTCTTGTTGTTTCGTGGCCGGGTTTTTACTACGCTCGAGGCGCGTCGTGCTGGCGACGCGCGGTGAAAACCTACGAAACGATAGAACGAATCGAGGAAAATAAGTTTGCTCTGGGCAGGAAACGGGATATCCTCGGATAGTGGCTACGAAAGCGAGCCGGTGCAACGCGCTGGAACGTTATTAACGCGGCTTTAATTCGCCTTAACGCGTTGCGTTTCAGACTACGTGCGTGGGTTCTCTCTGTTGCAAATGGAATCGCGAATACCATGAGGTTAGAGCATAGTTGCGAAACATTTCATCGGGTCCGTTAGAGATAGAAACGCCTGCTATCGTGGCATCTAAAGCGCGAATTATGCGCGAATTCAAGCGATACCGATGCAAACCCGCCGAGCAGAAGTAGTCGAAAGTTAGGAACCGCGCTCGCGAATTGCCCCTTTATCCAGCTTCGTCGCTCCGATCGAGCGTACGAAAGTGTTCACCGCGTTATTTTCAGTCAACGAATTTCTGGAGCGGTTTTCAATGAACTATGCGAACATTTGCTAAAACAATTGTTGAATTTACAGTACGATCTGATAATTTCGTTTGAAACTATTTCGTATGAAACAACGAATACCTACTGCACGTATCTAGTCCTAGTCTGTTTGATTTCTCATCTGGTGCACCCTTAACGAACTTGTCTTGTCGAAAGGGGTTGGTTTCGATCCAGAAACACGGGGTAGCAGCTTTCAGGTAGAGAGTTTCCCTGTTCTCGTGTCACGATCCCGTTCTTGGATATTTCGAGATCGCGAAGACGAAGCGGGGGAAAGTGACAGGAAAAGAGATCGAATGTTCCAGTGAACATTATATTACGGTAATTCGGGTGTGCGACGAAGAGAGGCGGAGAGGCGGCAAACCGTGAAACACGGAACGCGTAGTGAGAGATGGAATTGGTGGGAAACGGTGTTCAGACCGATATGTCGACGTAAATTCACGACCTTCGAAGGAAGTAGACGATGATATAACGAGGAAGGAACGAAAGGCCGGGCCGGGTAGCGAGGCCACGTAACTCTTCGGTTCGCTGTGCCAGGATTGCTGGCGACCCAGCTTCTCCTTTCCCGGCTCTCCTCCATCTCTCACCTTCACCTGCCGTGGTCGATCGATTCGCTAAAAGTAAATAAAATTCGCCCCTCGGCTGGCAGCGAGAAGAGGCAGAACCCTGGTGCTAGTGTAAGTGTCAGTGTTGGGTGTAATGCAATAAATCAAGGCGTCGATGGAGAGCCGAAAGTCATCGAACAAAGTCGGCCCACATAATTCTCCGTCTCGCTTCGTGCTTCGGCAACCCGGCAAACGAACGTCTTTACGTTTCTGGTGACCTGGATGGCTTCGGCCGATCGCTGGAAAACCGGTAAAAGCATGGAAATTGATCGTACCGTTTCTCTTGACCATCCACCTTAAACGGAACCTTTCGAAGCTCCTCCATTTTCCGCGACCTCTATACGCTTTGACCCATTTATTTTTTCTTTCAACGGAAAACGAGATGTCTTTATTGCGTGATATGCTTCGAGTTAATTTGTAGCCCCGTTTCGACGATTGCAATTTCGAATTCATCGGTTCGGTTCAATTGGTCGAAGCAATCGTCTGGTAAACGAAGAAACCAGCCTTCCAATCGAGCTATACTACGATTCGATCCCGCAATTGCCTCTTCAAACCAACACTGTTTTTGCTGGCACACCATGTTCCTTCCTATTCGAGGAGAAACTTTTCTTACGAATCCCTGCTTTAGGTTATATTCCAGTGCAACTCAATTTACTCGGGGGTTTCCAAGTTGTTTAGCTGGGAATGGCAATCGGGGGAACGAAGATCCCGGCTATGAA